GATTTATTTACATAGTGAGCAAATATGTATGTTGGGGGAGGGTGGACATGCTGATGGAGATTGAGGGGGATTAAAGCTCTTCACCCACTCCTTAGGGCTGTGGGAGGGCTAGGCATGTTCCAGCCCTGGCTTTCCTCCCAACAGTTGGAAATGGTGATTTGTAGTTCCTACTCATCTACTCATCTGAAAAAGGCAATCTAGGGTCTCCTCAAAAGGCTTAGGGGACCCATTATCTTCCCAGGCAGGGTTGCCATCCTCCTCTCGCTCAGCTCCCTTAAGACCAGCCCCATTTATGATTTTCGTCAACAGCAGCAGTCACCGTATGGTTGAGAGCTGCCATATGCTGAGCCCTGGGAACACGGCAGGGAGCAGCATCCCAGAGCGCTGCCCCGCGTGGGGTGGGGTTTCCACTCTGTGAATATCTGTGTGTATGAGAAAGAGACTCAAGTAGCTGTGCAGGTGGAAGACCACAGGCCCTGAATGCGCCAGAGGTCTTTCCTAAACTGACACTGGTCTCCCCCAATAGCTTCTAGAATCATACAATGCTAGAACCAGTGTCCCCAGCATGAGAGTTTGGGGAACCTGAGGTGAACTTCATTTTGGGGTCACAACCTGTGAAAGGATGCATCTAGAATGACCATGGAAACTGCTAGAGGCCCTGGACTTGAAACTGACCTCTGGCTCCTTTTTCCTGTCTTCCCTGCTCTACGTGCGGGGAGCACTCTCAGGTACGCTACCTCCTCTGATGCACCAGATGGCTTTTGGAGAAATGGCTCACGGACTCGGCCCCCATCTGATGGTGCCCAGGTTCTCATTGCAAGCATCCTCAAAAGGCCTGCCTGTCTGTGTCATGGCCTCAGCACATGGACTCCCTTTATCATTGAATCCAGCCTGGGTCTCAGGCCCCCTTGGGGGTCTGTTCTTTGGTTTTCTGGGAGGATTTATTCCTATGTGACTGATTTATCCCCAGGGGCCTAAGTCAGTCAATCATGTGGGAGTGTCTGGCTGTGTGCCCAGCTCAGTGGGTGGGGGATATTTTATGGCAGTGCAAGCTTGATTTCAGTTCTCCTTAGGTGCTGGTAACTTCCTTACTTACTAAAGCTTTTGCTGGGCAACATCCTGGCCAGACATGGGGTGATCTTCCCCAAGTCACATTGCCAGTGGTGACAAAGTTGGGATGGAACTCAGGCTCCCTAACCATTGCATCACCTTGCCTCTTGGGAGAATGTCACCAGCCCTGCAGTCTTACCATGAGGTTGTACAACTCTGTGACTAAGGATGCAGCCTTTGGTTTCAGAATCCTTGGGTTAGAGGACCTTCTCGCCACTTGCTATTTGTGACAAGGATGTGTTCATGTGATTCTGCCTCACTATCTTCCTTTGTTAATGGGGGTTAACATGGTTGATTGACCTCGGATTTTCTTACAGCTCTTCCTGTTGAAAGGTGGACTATATTTCCCCACACCCTGGAGATTGGGCTGACTTAGGAGAATACGGTGGGGAGTGATGGTGTGTGAGCTCTGAGCTCAGGTCTCAAGAGGCTTTGCAGCTTTTGTTTTCACTCTCAGAATGTCAATGTTATGTGACGAAGCCTGGCTGGCCTCCTTCAAGATGAGAGACCAAGTGGAGGTGATCCCAGCTAAAGCCCCAGACAGAAGTGAGATCAGTGGACACCACATGGAGCAGAGACGGGATGTCCTGGTGGAACCCAACCCAAGTTGCCCACTCGGCATTGTGAGCACAGAGACGAGGCTGAATCAGTTTACCAAGGTTTTAGGTAGTTTGTTACACTGCAGAGGCTAACTGGACTAGGGGATAAAAACAGACCTTACTTGTGTGGCTGTTGTGAGGATTACATGATGGGGTGGCTTAGACCAGCACCCAGAGCACAGCAGCTAGTACCAACCATCATGTGGCACTTCCTCTTGCTGATTGGGTTCTAGCTACTCTGACCTCTTTTTATTAAATATACCACATTCTTTGCCTTTTCAGGACTTTGCACTTAATTCTCTGCAACAACCTTTGCAATCCCATCCTCATAGTTGAGGTCTCGGCTGAAATTTCCTTTCATTCAGGTATAATATCCTCTTTACTGACTTCCATCCTTCAGTGTTGTATGTATTTCTTACCAGACTGCAAATTCCTAGGAGATAGGAGCTGGGCTTGTCCTTGTTCTCTCGTTCCTCCTTGCTGACTATCACAGTGCTGTGTACAGGGGCTCTCAACTGATACTTAAATGAATGAATTAACAAAAAGAGGTCCTCTAGTCAATTTGGGGTTGAGGTTGGGGCTGGGTTTCCAGGAGAGGAGTAGTCAGGTGAGTATCAAATTATTACAGGTCTTTTGGCTTGTGTCACTCTTTCATATTGGGTCAAAGGTATTCTTGATACTTTTAGGGAAGGTTATGAACCTCTCTAACAAAATGAAATGAAACCCCTATCTTTCACCATGCACAAAACTCAACTCAAAGTGGATCAGAGACTTAGGGATACAACCAGAGACCCCCTGTCTAACAGAAGAAAAAGTAAGCCCTAATCTCCATCATGTGGGATTAGGCCCCAACTCCCTTAATAAGACTCCTGTAGTGCAAGAATTAAAATCAAGAAACAATAAATGGGATGGACTCAAACTAAAATGTTTCTTCTTGGCAAAACAATCTGAGGTAAAAAGGATGAAGTATTAAGTAGGGGCTTAAGTTTATTAGATGAATGAGTGAGTGTGAAGGAGGATGAATAAAGCATACTTAGAACCAGTGATAATGATATAAAACAGCTGGCAGGCAATTATGGAAAAACATGTTTATTTTTTCTTCTAAAAAATGTATTACCAGTCGGTCAATGAAAGATACATGTATAAAAATGTACTAAGTACAATCACACTGGTGTTATATTACAGAGGGATTTGTTACAACCATTCCCTCTGAGTAAGGTGGCACACGGGATGGTCACAGTTGGTTCACAAAGAGTGGCAAGAGGAGATGACCAGTTGTACCACTTGGTCCAATTTCCCAGGATATAGAACTTTGTAAAAATGGGAAAGTCCTGGATAAATCTAGACAGTTGGTCATGCAAGGGAAATGGCAGCCACAGAGTACTGAGTACAGTATAGCATTTAGGTTGAGGTATTAGGCGTTCTTCAACTTTGCTGTCACCCCTTTCTCCCTTAGCTCTGAAGTAAAATCCACTGTACTACTAATGAGGGTGTTACTTCTTTCAAAGGATTTCCCCAGTGAATTTCAACTTGATCCTTATGCTAACCTGGGCTGTAGTACAGTTCTAACCCAATATGCAAGTGCAGTATCCTGTTTCAAGGCTCCTGGATCCCAAAGAATATAGAGGCAGAGCACAGACTCAAACTTGGATCTCTGGAGGCCACTGTGCTATTCTCTTCTAGAACATTCTACCTGGATCTTTTTGGCTACAACAGTAGGCAAGAATCATGGGAAGAGGGGGGCCCTAAGAGCCAGGTCTTGACTGATCTCCTCCCTTGGAACAATTCAAATCCTTTCTTCTCTGCCTGCTGTTGGTCTCCCCATAGCAATCTCCATGTTGGATGCCCTTGAGCACCCACCTGCTGGCCATGAAGCATCATGGTATGGTAGAGACAGACAGATACAGTGATATTGGCTTCAGGATGATGCTCCAAATGGCTCAAGTCCAGGTTTTCCAAGAGGATGGTCGGCTCAGTCTGCCAATGGCAACTTGATTGTTTTGAGCTCTTTTGGGGCCTTTTTGCTAGGAGTTATTCAAGTGATAGGTCAACTCACGACTGGTGGTTGTGATTCTCAGGTTCTAAGATTTGCCACACTTGTTACACCCACTAGTATACTTATCACCTAATCTGCAGTCTCTAGTTCAAGGTCGAGAGGGCTCCATAACCCACTCTGGCTTATCTTAAAAGACTGGGCATAGGTTACTACTACCAACAGTAGACAGTTTTTCTTGAAAGCCTGTTACAATTCTATATTTTTGGCATTTATGACCTCTAGGAATATAAAGTATATGCAAACCTTCTTTTTTCTGTGAAGTGAGATTTCCCCTGACTTAATTTAATTGAAGCAGTGTCATTCTCGTGGTGATACTCTTGGGAGAAGCTAATGAGTGTGGGGCTTAATACTTAGCCCCATCCTTGAAGATGTCGTTTAGAATTGCTCTATCATATGGGTATATTCTGGGTGCAGATATGTGAGGATCTCTTGATCATTGGATTTTTCCTGTTCTAAGAGCTGAATGTGGATGAGAAATTTTATTTTAAATAAATAAAATAGTTTTAAGAATAGGGTGCTTCTATGTCCTCTTGGAAGATTTCCCAGATGGTGGCACCTGTGGTCCATTAGTTTGAACAGGGTCCTCTGGTGCACCTATTACCTTTAGCATGCGTACCTTTCCGTCTTACAATAGCTGTGACCCCACAGCTCTTGGAAGCATCTTTAGATTGTTTTTTCTTTGGCGTAGAGACAGAAAGCAGACTAACTCTCTGAATGGAAGCGATGTTAACCTTGAGTTGGTCATCGAGATAAAGCCCTTGTACACAAAGGTCTCATCTGAGACTTCAACTCTTGGCACTGCGGTGTGAGGTGATGGTTTGACAAACCCAGTATGTTCCTGAGTTCTTGCCTGGGTTGGTATGCTTCTTGGAATCGTGGAAATGTGTGGCCCAGTTACATTTGGTTCTAGGTTTCAATTATTTAGAAGATCATAAGAATACTTGGGCTAAAAAAAAAAAATTGGGGAACTCGGTGCAATAGAAACATAGCCTCCTTATAAAACCCCTGTTTACAAGACATGCGGCTCGGCAGCAGAGGAAACTTGGAGGTGGACTGGCCTTTCGGTCCTTCTTAATCAACCTCCTTGGAACCAGCAGTTCCCTTAAGGAAGTCAAGTCTGGTAGGTAACAAAGAGTAAGGCTGGCCCATTCTTCCCTCCATGAGGAAGGGTCAAGGGGTACTCGGGCCAGTGATCCAATGGCCTCTTCTGAGTCTGCATGAATTTCTACAGCCCCTCATATGGTCAGTGAGCTCTGGGATCGACGATGGCTGCCTCTGGTCAAGGGCCGAGACACATCCGTCTGTTCCCTGGAGCAGGCTCTGGGACCCGGTGTCCTATTTGGCCCTAGAAGATGCTCCCCAGATGAGAGTTGAGCTGAGAAGTCCCCTGAGCATGGGCCATCCCTCCCATGCTCTCTGCTGCTTCTCTGTCCACGGAACACCCAGTCTTCCACGTGCTTCCGTTTGGGAGGACTAGAGCTCTTTGGGGTGCTGGTCCTGAAGTCCTGCTCTGGGACAGGTGGCACTGGACCATGAGTGGGCTGAGCTGCTACAGGAGTAGTGGCAGGTCTTAGTTTGCTTCTCCAGTTCTGGATTTCCAGGTTTCTTTTTTCTGTGGGCAGTTGGTCAATTTTCTGAGCTTTTGAGATGGGAGTTTTCCCATAAGTTCCTTGTAGAGACAGGAAAAAGTATCTAATGGGAAACAAAAGAATAAATGTTTTCTGATTTTGTTGACTTCCTTATTTTCAGTATTGAAAGGGGTATTAGACTCTACCTTCCTACAAAGAGCCAGGTTTTTACTGCACTTCTGATTATCAAATCTAAGCTTGGGTGCATGGGGGTTGAGGAGCACAACAGAGTAGCTGACATTTAGTATATACCAGGACTATTCCAAGAGCTTTGAATATTAGCTCATTCTCCCACTAATTCGTGTGCTTGGTATAGTCATGTGCCATGTTATGATGATTCAATCAATGATGGATAGCAGGGACTATGGTGGTCCTATAAGATTTGATAAGCTTAGGGATATAGCCAAAGCTTGGTTTAGGTAAGTATGCTCTATGATGTTTACACTACAATGAAACCATCGAAGGATGCACTTATTAGTCATGTGCTGCTTAATGACAGGGCTACATTCTTTTTCCCCCTTTTGTGAACAGATGAGGAAACTGGTATTGAGAGGCTGAGTGATGTAACTGGAGCCATACAGTGGTCCACTCTGGTCAGAACCAAGCACTCTGAATCCAGAGTGTGTCCTTCCTATGATGTACATTGTACACAAATTATTGGGAGAATTGGGAGAATCATCATTACATGGCGCATGACTATACCAAGCACACGACTTATGTTTTGGGGCCACTCTAATTTAGGCAAATGTAATTGATTGGWAATGCCAACAATTTGGAACTTAAGTCATTTTAAAATTCATCTTATTTTTTAGAGTCTGTGTACCATGCTGAATGGTCACTACTTGCCAGATGGAAAACACTAAGGCCCCAAGTGATGAGCTGAGATTTGCAAGTTCTCTTGAGAAGTTGAGATATCTGTTGACTAACCCAGGGTTCCTTTCCTCCTGTGGTGGACTGTGGAGTTCAGTGTCTCCATATGCAGCTAGAATTTTCTCCCTGTTCCAAATTTAGGGAAGGTATGAAGAGGGGAATAAATCTTAGGTGGTGTGTGGGAGCAAATGGCAGCTTGTAACATGGGCTGCTCACATCCCCTCTTTCTTTTTTAGAGAAAGAATCTGACACCCAATCCATCTGGCCCAGGGGACACCTAAAATCTTTCCCAAAGGTGAATAATCATCTTTCTTGAAAAAAAAATTATTAAAGTCCTAAAAGCAGAGAGGGGCTCCCAGTCTTCCACCGATCTTCAAATTGCAGGGTGACCCCTCGGTGGGTGAGGGCTTTCTGATGACAACCCCCTCACCTCACCTGTGAAGCCCCAGGGGGCCCTATATGCACATCAGGAAAGATCAGGCTTCTTGCCTAGAAACAAGAATTTCAGTCTGACCCTGTCCCCTAAACCACCACCTTTCTCCTTCATCCATTTATCAAAAAATACTTCAAGTTCCCACAATGGGCTGGCCTTACTAGGGTAAGCTCTGAATGAGCCAGAGACTTGCTCTCTTGTCACATGAGTCCAACCATACATGGGGGTGTGGAGGAGGCAAGAGGACGTGCAGCCCCTGATCTGGTCTGAAGACCTTCCTCGGAGAAGAGACGCATAAGCAGAGGACTGCACAGGAGATGGGCCAGAAGCCAAGAGTAATGACCCGAGTGTGGAGAGTTGGCACAGGGCAGGTGAGAGCTGAGGGCCAAGGTTTTTGTTTTCAGGCTTCTTAAAAAAAAAAATGTATTGAGAAGCCCTTGGAGAATGATGAATGGGCAACATGATCACACTGGGATACATTGATGCTACACAATAATGGACCCAATAGGAGACCCTTGAAGTAATTTTGGGGGTGAAGGGGCATGGCCCACCCATGATGGTGGCTGTAGAAATGTGTAGAAGGTAAAGCTACCAGAACTCGGTGCTGTGTAAGATGCACCTGGGGAACCCGTGCGTGGGTCAGGTAACTCCCAAGGGTCTGCTCTGGTTCCATGTGGGTAGCGCTTGCTGGAAGGAGCTGTGGAAAAGACCCAGATTTCTGGATTGGTTAGTGATGGAGGGTGGAATTGTGAATTGGAGATGTTGCCTGGTTTCCTCAGGCTTAATAGGGGAGGTGAAGAGTGGGAACTGGAGAGATGCCTCTGGAATTCGGAAGAGAAGGGAGTCTCGGTGATTTAGAATGAAGATTCGTCTGCTACAAGTGATTTTTTAAAAAAAAACCACAACAATAAGAATAAAGTTAGAAGGGAACTTAGAGGTAGGATTGCCATCTACACCACATAACAGATGTGAGCCCGCAAAAGAAAGGAGGAAAAACTTAAGAGTGTGTAGAGTCCCTGAAGCCAAGGAAAGAGGGTCCAGGGACTGTTCCCTTCTACTGTAGCTAATTAAGAGGCACATTGAAGGTCAACATTTCATTTGCTTTTCTTCTGTTTGTAGTTAGGGGAATTTGTGCTGTGTTTTATGCTGGTGGAAATAACTAGGTTTGAGAGGTCATAGTTAGTGGACTAATTATCTTAAGTTTGGGTGGAAAATCAATCTCAGATGTAAGCTGCATTTATTATAACAATCAGTAAACAAGTAGTTTTCTACAGGTGAAGAACTGTTCCAAATCAACAGCCCTTCCAACTATTGTATATCATCCTTTCATATCAGAGGAAACCTCTTTGCTTCTCAATAAATATTAAGAAATTCAACTTTATTTTGATAGGTTGCTTACTCTCTGTGTTAGGTAGGGTAACTAGCAAGTGAATATTTGCTGACCTTTTCCTTACTTGTCCCTCATCTGTTCATCTTTTCAAAGCACCCTTTGCTTTATTAAAATGAGGCATCAGTCTTTTATATTCTGGCTCCAAGTCTTTTAGTTAGAGATAAAGAATGTGGGGCTTATAAATTTGGCTTTGCACATCTTAAATAACTTCAAAATAAATTGACAAGAATGCTCAACCCTCAAATTTGATACCCTTTTCTGACAAGGGCATGATTGTCATAGTTCCTCTCTTCAGTGGTTATCTTAAAGAAAGGGTAGGGTGGGAACTATGCTCCTGAGGCTTCTGCTTGTGCCCGATTGCTTCCCACAATACTTTTAGGGCTCACTCTTGATACCAGCCTCTTATACTATGGTCAGACTCACATCCAAATCATCCGTTGGATTATAGACTTCTTAAGGTTGCTGTTCCTTTCATTTATCTGAGTGCAGATGGGAAGTGTGCTATGCAATGATGGCAAGAGAGCGACTGTGATCAATGTTAGAAAGGTCATGATAGGTATACCAGGTGGTGGGCTATGTGAGAAAGAGACTTATTTCAGCCTGTGGAAAGTGGACGATGTCACGGAACTTCTAAAAAATCATATCTGACAAGATTACAAAGGCTGAAGGGTTCTGGTAATGGGAAGGCCATTCCAAATAGAAGGAACTGGGGGAGAAATGGTAAGGGGCCACAAACAGCTTGGTAGTGTGGAACCCAAAGTTTGAGGCAAAGGATAGGGAGATGAGCCTTCAGAGACCAGCCGAGAAGGGAAGTCATGCACACAGTGAATACTTAGAACTCATTTCTTTGGTGTTCTGCCATCTTGGCAGTTTCAGCCTCCAGCACAGGTGCAACTAAGGGTGTTGATGGCCTCTAATTTGAGGATAGAAAGAGTTCTGCAATATTGTGATTTCTACTGAATACAGTCTCTAATGGTAAGTGGCTGAACTCTGAAGTTCAGGGTAATGAGACTGAGACAGGCTTTCACCTATGAGTATATCACTGTGAAATTACCCAATTTCTCTGGGTCAAGAGTGTGGGATGGAGAACAAAACATTGATCCACGGGTGGGAGAATCCAGCTCCCACTCTAAGGGGTACTGGGTTTATAGACACATCAGCAGTGTCAGGAACAAGTTGAACTAGAACCAAATTCTTAGCCCCTTGTTTTGTTTTTTCCATCAGCTCTATAGAAAAGTGTGTATCAAGGGTGAGCTCCACAGAAAGGCCAGACATTATTCATTTTGCCCTTTTTATGGAAAATGTGAAAGCAAAGAATGTTAGGTTGGGAATATCAGGAACAGTCTGTGCGCATCTGGCATACACAGGTTTTGTATGAGCGTTTTGAACAAATTTAAATGATGTTGAAAAAGTTGGCTATTTCATGCAAATTTTAAGTTTTTGGGAAAAACTGAAAACTCTGGAATGCTTTGCTGTATCTTTCCCCCTCTGTTTTCGCTAAACCTGACTTGGGGCAGTTGCTTGCCTATCCTGTAGGTATTCCCCGGCTATCACACAACCATAATCTTAAATCAGAAAGGTAGGCATTTTTACTCCTATTTTACAGATGTCACAACCGAGGTAACTTGATTTAGTGACTTTGCTGCGCTGTGGCTGACCTGGGGACCACAGTTGGCATTGTTTGCCCCCTGGCTCATTGTTCTTTCTGTCCTAGCACCTTGCCTCTGGAAGAACAGCCACTAGGAGTCCATCAAGGGTCAAATAATGACTCCTGGGTTATGAAAATGGCTTATTAAGGGGAGACGGGATTTCTAGATGGGAAACGACCCCAGTGTTCAGACCTTGGGAGGAGAGCCGCGACAGGTGTGAGGAAGCAGATGAGGTAGAACGTGGGGTCTGAGAGCTGGTTCACCATCACCCAGTAGGGATTGGTGGGACTGTTGCAGGTGACGCAGGTGGCATTATACACCACGGAGACCACAAAGTACATCAGGAAGCTGCTTAGCAGAACAAGTCCATGGACAAGGGTCTGTGGAGGGAAAGAAGAAAGCACTCTTGAAGGTAAAGGTCAGATTTCGGGCACAATGGTTGAACTACTTGGCGAACTCCATTTTAAACTTCTTTGAAATGTAATCACACAAATAAATAGAAAAAGACCAGTTGAATGGATAATTACAAAGCAAATATTCTTGTTGCTATTAACCCAGAGACCTCCAAATCTGTCTTTCTCCTGACATGGGTGATTGCCAGACCATCCTTGGTAGCTTTACCACTTACCTATGTTTCCTCATGTGGCCTATTTTTAAATTTTGAATAAATAGTATTTTTTTCCTTTTTCTCCCTCAATATTGTTTGCGTGAGGAGTCCGTTTCTTCCACACATGGCAATAATTTATTCACTTTGAAAGAAGCACTATGTTCTGTCGTCTGGTCTTACTGTCCTGTTTGTGCCTCTTCTTTTCTGTTCTTGTCTTTTAAACATTGTGATTATTTTTGTTTAATTTTCTCTTTACTAATTTGAAAGTCACATATACCATTTTTACTCTTTCAGTGATAACAGGTAACAAACAATCTTACTGGAATTTAGAGTATACATCTTCTTTCCCCTCCTGGATTACAAAGTGCTTTGGATCACTAGAGCTCCATTTATTTAACTCCTATGTCATTTGTTATCTTAGATGTCTATTTTAATTCTCTTAAGTCACGCAAGTCAGTGTTTAATATGATGGATACTCATTAAGATTTACTTACAWATTGACCAATATCCATTCTTCTTGAACCTTTCATCTGAGATCTTTCCTTCTGGACATCTATTAGCAGGGACTTGTGTCAGTCTGCTGGTGATATACTCTGCTTTATTTCATTCTCATTCTTGGAAGATTTTTTAAATATAGAATTCTTGTTTCACAGGATTTTCTTTAAGCATCTTCTAGCTAGCATTCCACTGTCCTCTGGCTTCCATTTTTACTTAAATGGAAATGTTTCTCAAAAATCTGCTTGTGTATATATATATATATATATATATATATATATAATATATTTTGTATTTGGCATTCCATAGTTTCTTTAATAGTGAATTGTTTTTGGTTTGCTTGTTATCTTCTTACATCTGTGGCTTGATATCTTTCGATCACTTCTACAAAATTCTCAGGTTATTGTTTTTTCAAATATTGTTTGTTTCATCCTCTTTCCTTCAAGGATTATTATCCATGTAAAGTGATTTTCAGATACCACTAATATCTCTACTATAATTTTTATTATTTTTTTTCTATATTCTAGATAATTTTTTGAACAACTCACTAAATACCTCTTAGCTGTGTCTAATCTGCCATAAGGTTAACTATTAAAAATTAGTTACCATAATTTTTATAAGTAAATTCTCCATGTGATCTCTTTTCAAATTTATATTTCTTTGTATAATTTCCCAATCTGTGCAGATATTTTAAAGCTTATTCTTTACTATGATTAAATAGTGTTTTTGTCACTTACAGCTGATAATTTTGTATCCATTTGTTTCTTTATTCTCACTTATTGGTTTCTTTGGGAGATTGGTCATTTTAGAATAAATATTAGTGAGGATCATTTCAACCTTTGAAAGAGGAAGGCACCTTTCTCTAGATAGGGCATGTGTGATTCCGTGCCCTTCAATCACTTCAAATGTAATCCTAGGTTGATGTTTGGCTCACCCAGGTGACACGAGCCTGGGCTGCAAATCTATGTGAGGCCAGCGTCTGGTCACATTTTCCAAGAACAGGTCCTCTGTGCTCATCTTCTCTGTTTAGGTGCACCTAATTCTATGCCTCTTCCCAACTAAAGTGTAGCCTCTCGGATCCCAGTGTAATGTGATCTCGTATTAGGCTCCTACTTTAGGAGCCTGGATTTTAATTTTTGAGCCTTTCACTCAAGGTTCATTTTGGGCAGGGTCACAAGCACCCTCAAGGAAAGTGGTGCTGGCTCAGATGATGGTCTTTACTCTCCTGTGGGCTGAGAGCTTATTGTTCTTTCACAGAGCTTTCTTTAAAGGAAAAAGTTATCCAATATTTTTAGTTATTTTCAGTGTGAGCAGTGATCCAAAAACATCCCTGTTTCTGAAGAAGGAAAAAGTTAGCTAACTTCCTTTCTTTTTAAATTAGACAAAATTGTACATAGTTATCATGCGCAACATGTTTTGAAACATGTATACATTGTGGAACGGCGAATTTGAGCTAGTTAACATGCAGTACCTCACATACTGGTCATATTTGTGTGTGTAGTGAGAATCCTTAAGAAATTTCAAGAATGATACATTCTTATTAATCTTGTGTTGTACAATAGATCTCCTGAACTTCTAACTGAAATTATTTAGCTAAGTTTTACAACTGCTTTGATATGTCATTTACTAAGCTTTTGAAATATGTATGCACTGTGGAATGAATGTAAACACAATTAACAGAGGCATTATCTCACATGCTTGAGGTTGAGAACACTTGAAATCTCGTATGGATGTTTAAGAATATAAAAGTCATGTTGTACTATAGTTTTCTTAAACTTAGTCCTCCTATTCAACTGAGGTATTAAGCTAACTTTATAATTGCTTGGGTAGGGACTGTGTCAGAGCCACTAAAATTGTTTTATTTCTAGCCTAGGCAAGTAAGATGTCCCCCTGATTCAGAAAGATAAATGGGCTAGGGTTGTGGCTTAGTGGCACAGTGCTTTCCTGGTATGTGTGGGGCACTGGGTTTAATTCTCAGAACCACATATAAATAAATAAAGGTCCATTGACAAAACAATATTTAAGAACTAAGAAAAAAAAGGAGACAAATGATTTTAGTAACTGACTCCTTTCCAGAAAGGACTAGTAACTATTGGGGTTGGGGTACCTGTTTTAGAGGTGCATGAGGCAGACAGTATTTCCCAATTTTAAAAAAATTTTGAGGGGATGTGGCTCAAGCGGTAGCGCACTCGCTTGGCATGCGTGGGGCGCTGGGTTCGATCCTCAGCACCACATAAAAATAAAGATGTTGTGTCCACTGAAAACTAAAAAAAAAAATTAAAAAAATTTAAAAAAATTTTTATTTTTCATTTTGAAACAGTCTAGCTAAGTTATCAAGGATGGCCTTGAATTTGCTTTCCACCTGCCTCAGACTCCTGAGTAGCTGGGATTATAGGCATGTGCCACTGTGCTCAGTTTATATTTTCCTCTTTTTAAAGCAGATGTATGCAGTACTTCAAGAAAGAGGGCTAAGTGACTGTAGAAGATCTAGAAGTTTTAGTCTTGTCACCTATTTAATAATACAGTTGAGGCCTGATTACACTTTGCAAGGCATTTTGAAAGTTTAAAAATATCTAATGGTTAAGAAGGTCATAGCAGAGTTTCTTTGGGAAAATGTTGGATTGGTTTGTTTGAAATATTTCACAGTAATTACATTTTTTAAATATACAAAGATTAAGACTTGGAGATACAATGAAAATACCCTTATGTCCCTTGCAAATGACCTCTTTAATATTGAATATAAATTCAGTGTTCATTATTTTMTGCATGTTGTATACATGTGTTTATCCATGGTGATGGTAGCTTTTTACTTGAGCCTGTAGCTCAGTATTTATACATGATATAGTACTTCTTGCTGTGTCCTGAATGTACCCTTTCAAATTTATATGTTGAAGCCCTGTAATAGTATTGGGAGGTCATGCGAGGGGAGCTCTCATGAAAGGGGTTAGTCTTTATGAGAAGAAATTCAAGAAAAATGATCTTTTTCTCAGTAATGTGATAATACAGTTGTAAAACTGCATGTCAAATCACTGTCAGGACTGTCTATTCTACTTAAGAATAGACCATCCTTTTTCCTGTTGAACACTTTTCTTATTAGCCAAAAAAAAAAACAAAAAACAAAAGTACTGGAACAAACATGCTTCTGTATCTCCTTATATACATGTGTAAGTATTTTATGGGTTCATCAATACTTAGAGGGGAAATGATGTTGCAGTGTATGAGTACTTTAAACTCTGCTTTTTAAAGGGGTGTCAGTTTAAAGTCTAACATGAAAATTCCTTGTGTGTTCCCATCGAACAGATTGTTGAACTGATCTGCCAATGCTGTGTTTAGATTTCTTAAATATATTAAGATTATTTCATAATTTTTTCTTTGGATTGTCCATGCCCATTTTGTATCAGTGTTATTTTAGCCATGAAAAACAAATTACTAGACTTTGAATGGGTATCCCTCTAAAATTCCTACATGGGAACTTAATATCCAGTATGATAGTTAGAATCTTTTGGGAAGTGATTGTCATGAGTACTGTGTCTTGATTAGAGGTTGAAGGCAGAGCTTCAGTGCCTTTTGTCCTTCTACCATGTGAGAACAGTGTTCAGCCCTTTTGTCTCCTTCCTCTCCAGAGATGCAGTAAGAAGGCTCCAAATTGGAGGCTAGAGCAGCCTTCACCAGATGCTGGAACTGTCAGTACCTTGATATTCCAGTCTCGAGGTGTGAGAAATTTCTATTCYTTGGAAATTGCCCCTTTTCAGGTATTTTGTTACAGTGGCATAAATGGACTAGAACATCTATGTTTCCCTATTTTTTTCTGGTCCATGAATTTTTTTTTATTGGTTGTTCAAAACATTACAAAGCTCATGACACATCATCTTTCATACATTTGATTCAAGTGGGTTATGAACTCCCATTTTTACCCCAAATACAAATTGCAGAATCACATCAGTTACACATTCACATTTTTACATAATGCCATATTAGTGACTGTTGTATTCTGCTGCCTTTCATATCCCCTACTAT